ATTAATTATATTTTTTTTTTTTTGTTATTTTATCCAGTCACGAAAGCTGGAAGCACTGAATCAAAAAGTATTTTTAAAAAAAATTAGGGTTGAAAGAGAAAAATAATAATAATAATAAATGTAATTATAAAAAGTTATTAACTATAAGAGCCAACAACAACCACCGAATAACGTGCAGAGGGAGAGGGAGGGGAGGGAGAAATAATAAAAATATTTTGCAAATTGTGGAAAATATTTTGAGAACGACAAAAAAAAAACATTTTGGAAATTATTTTTTCTAATTATTATTTTAGTGGAGGGGTTGAAAATGGAAATATTTCGGTAAGGGTGATTCGAAAAAGAAAAGAAAAGAAAAGAAAAGAAAGAAATTCACACACCTAAAACGTCTGTCCTAATCTAGTTATTAATGATGTTTAACGTGACAAATTGTGTAAAATTGACCGTTCGAACGCAAAAAATTACTTTTTTTCCGATTTTTTTCACTTACGACAAATCATTAATTATTATTATTATTATCATCAGTGGTACGTTTATTGAAAAAAAAAAATGGGGATCCCCCCATTCCCTAAATTATTTATTTATTCCATTTAACAAATTCTTTATTATCATACCGTACTGCTATTATTATTATTGTAATTTAATTATTATTAATTATTTACGGGGGAAGAAAAAAAAAGAAAATTTAATGTTTTGCGTTCATGAACGATAGCAAAAATAATTTTTTTTAAATTTATGGATTATTTCAGAGTCATTAACGAACGATGTCCATTTTTATCTTTTTCCATATAAACTTTATATTCGTGACAATAATTCAATGGACTTAACATAATTTCATCGAACGTGTTATTTATATATATAAAAAATTATTTTAGTAATTTTATTATAATCTTACCGTTTATTTAAATTTAATAATTCAGTCATTTTTTTTTTTTTTTTTTTTAATAAATAAATGAAATCATCTTGAATTGTTATCACAGTTTCCTTTGTATTGATATTGCTCCGAATCGTTATCAAATTTTTTTTCGTTATCAAGTACACTGCCATCTATTGTTAAATTTTTTATAATATCAATGTTGTCTTTATCACTGACATCTATTGGTGAAAGTTTACAACTCTCATTATTACCGTCGCCGTTTGTATTTTTTTTTAAATCAATGACCGTACCATCTAACGGTGATTTTTGTAAACTTTTTAAAACTGTTTTATCATTGTCACCGTTATTTTTATTAGGTAGAAAACTTAAAGCTCGTCTTGTTGCGAGAACGGCTTTTGTTGCCACCTACGAAAGAAAAACAATATACATAATGAAAGGACATGTTTTTTTTTTTTTTTTTAAAAGGAAACATTATATTTTTAATATCGCATTTCACCCTCCCCGCCTAAATTAATCATCACCTTTGTCACCGTTAAAAAAGAAAAAAGGAAAAATAATTAAACACAAAGGAAAAGTTGGAAAATTTGTATCGATCATGAGTTTACAAAAAGGAAAATTCCTGTCGTTTGATGTTTTAAATTAAACTCACCCTAAATCTTTTTCTCGCATTGAATTCTCTCAGCTTAAGAATGGTATCGTTCATGTGAAGATGTCCAACAGAAATTCCTAAAATCCACGGATGATTTAAAGCTTCGGTTGTCGTCGGTCTTAATTTCGGATCGGTCGACAGCAACTAAATAATCAACGCAACATTTAAATAATAATAATAATAATCGATTAATAGTCGAAAAAGATTTGAAAATCATCAAAGGTTATAAACTTTCGACAGGAAAGAGAAAATAATAATAATAATAATTTTACTCTAGTTATTAATTCTTTCGCGCTGTCTGAAATTTCATCCCACCATGGCGACGGAAAAGTGTAATCACCATTTATTATTTTTCCTGTCGTCGGCACTTGACTTTTTTCATCTAAAAACGGTTCGAAACCACATAACCTATCGTAAACAATCATTCATTATTATTATCATCGTAAAAAAATGCTGTCGAAAAAAAATCATTTAAAAAAAAACTTGATTACATTATGTAAGTGACGACTCCGACGTACCACAAATCGACGGAAGAATCGTATTCCTTATTAAGAATTAATTCGGGAGCTAAACAAACAAACAAACGACGCATTGAAGAATGCAGAACACAAACAAACAAACGAATAAAAAAAATTTACCCGAAAGTCCAAACGATCCGCAATTTCTGTTGATTTCTTGCTGTCGGTCCGACAGTAAAACGTTCATTTCATAATCTGCCAATTTCAATTCGGAATCATCAGTTTCGGATATGTACAAAAGATTTTCCGGTTTTAAATCTTTATGTATGATACCGTGACCGTGTAAATACTTTATTATAAAAACAAACAAACAAACAAACAATTTAAAAAAAAAAAACAAATTCAAACGATAAATTCGATTGTTGTTTGTTTGTTTATTAAAAATACCTGGAGAGCTTTCAATATGTCACCGACGCATTGTGCTGCATCCTTTTCCGAATAAAAACCTTTTCCGACAATTTTTTCAAATAATTCTTCTCCGTGTACCAATTCCATGACTAATTGCACTTCATTTTCCGTTTCAAAAACCTGTTTTATGTTTATCTTTACGAATAATAATAATAATAGTAATTAATAAAAAATTTTCCGACATGTTTAAAAAGGAAAGAAACAACGATGGACGACTTACGATATTCGGATGATTTAATTCTAATAATGTAGAAATTTTCATCTGAGCTTCTTTTTTATTTAAATGATCCTTAAAAGGCAAACAAAAAGGTTCATACATCAACACAAACAATTTATTATTTAAAAAAAAAACAAAAAAAAAAGAAAAAACTTTTCTTACTTTTTTCATAACTTTACACGCCCATTCCGTTCTACCTTTTCTAAGACATTTATAAATTGTTGATGTTGCGTCCCTGCAGGGGGGAGAGAGGAGGAAGAAAAAAAAATTAATGTCTTCAGTTTAATATGGCGGAACGGAAATGCAAAAAAAAAAAGGATCACGACGAGAGTGAAACCTTAGATGGAAACCTATTTGAAATTTCATTTTTTTTTTACTCCTAAATGAGAATGAAAAAATTTCCGTTTGTTCGCGCGTGTGTGTGGGTGTGTGAGTGCGCGTTATAGTTTATTAAAACATACGTTTGTTAATAACAAACACACGCACACACACAATAAAACAAAACAGATTGAAAATGTTTGTGTTTAAAGAAAATTAAATAACGAAATGAATTCTTTTCTACGATGAATAACGTTTTTTTTTTTTTTTTAACTGTTATGAAACGATAAGAAAAGTTGTAAATAAATTATACGACGACAACAACAACAACAACAACAACAACAACGACAACCTCACACATTGTTTTTAAAAATTTTAATTTTTTCATATTAAAAAAAATTTTCCGGATTTTCTCAAAAAAAAAAAAAAAAAATCGTTTTAATTAATTTAAATGATGAAATACAATATTAATTAATTTTCAATTATGAGTCCTCCGACTCCTGTTTGTTTGTTTGTTTGTTTTTAAAAATATTTTTTTTTTTTTACAAATGTTTAATTACTCATATGTTGCCTCTGTTTAAAAAATTATTTCACGCTTTTAAAAACGTACGCACACGCACACTCACACACACGCACAATTGTTGTTGTTGTTGTTGTTTTGTCATTTATACGAACGACAACCGTCATCACGTATTTAATTTTACGTTTTTTTTTTTTTCCTGTCTCGTCCTGTTCATTAACGTCATCGCGTCGACAAAGAACAAGAAAAAAAAAATTTATCATTAAAATTTTCCGATAACGCGTACCTGAAATTTTTCGCAATTAGGAAAAAAAATGATTTTCGCCGTGATCGTCGGGAGTTTTAGTGCCTCAAATAAAAACCGACGGGGGTTGGGGGTGTTATCATCCTTTTACCTTCCGATTATATCTCCTAATAAATATTCATCTTCTAATTTTTTCCCTTTCGTGAGATCACCAAACCAATAATAATCATTACTATCGTCGCCATTTTCACCACCGCCACCACCACCGCCGCCATCATCATTTTCATCTTCATCATTACGATTGTTATTGTTAATTTTATGTTCTTCCATTCCCGCGTTTTCTTTCATCTAAAAAAAAAAAAAAAAAAAAAAAAAAATTCATGAATGCTTGTGGATAATTAAAAAATATTTGTAGTAAATGAAATAAAATTTAAATTTAATTGTAATTCAACCGTTTTCGTTTGTAAACAAAGATAATAATAATAATAATTAAAACAAAAGAATTTCTATTTGAAACACCCGAGAGCAAACGCGAATAAATAAAAAGAAAACAAACGGCAAACTTTCAAATTTATTTGTTGTAACTCCGTTTGTAATTGTTGAGTTACGAACTCATTACAAATTCGAATTGAATCGACGGGGGGAAAGGAGGAGTAGTTTGAAGGGGGGCACGCAAAAAAAAAATCAGGTCGTTGGTTTTTGTTATATTTTATCAAACTAAATGAAACCTTTCCCCTTTTTGACGTTTCTAGAAAAAGATGGGGAGGGTAGTGGGAGAGCGGGGGGAAACGTAGCTAAATATTTAACGAGTACTTTTATTAATTTACCTTGAAATTAAAGGTACCCATCAAATTTGTTTAAACATTTACACTCGTGTGAATTAAATCAATTGTTTATAATTAAAACGAGGAAGTGAATTATTCATTGTCGAATTATTATTATTATTATTATTATTATTATTATTATTATTATTATTATTATTATTATTATTATAAGAGAACGTGTTGCACATCGATCGATTGTTTTAAAAAAGAAAAACAAATGTTCGGTTTAATTATTATTATTATTATTATTGATAAACAATAGAAAACAAAAAAAAAACAACGAGATTTGCCATCTTTTTTTTTTTTTTTGATCTATTTAAAAATACTTAAAACGTCACGTATTTATTTTGTGGGGGGAACTTTTTTTTTGAACCCCTTCCCCCCCTTATTACGGAGTCAAAAAAAATTTTTTGAAAACATCGTCACACTTGAAAATAAATAAATAAATATTTATAATGATAATAATAATAATAATAATAATAATAATAATAATAATAATAATAATAATAATAATAATAATTAATTAATTTAATAATTACGTAATTAATAAAAAATAAAAATTCATTTATTATTATTATTATTATTATTTTCCGTTTGTCTTTTCCAATTTCGTCGTTTTCTTACAAACACCGACAAGTACATAGAACATAAAATAATGCATAACTTTCGATAATAATAATAATAATAAATTTAATTTTTGTTGCCAAATTTCGAATCGTTTGTTTTATAAATAATTAAAAAAAAAATTCTTTTTCCGCCCCCCAATATTTTCTCACCTGTATAAAAAAAAAAAAAATATCCACGTGTATATGTGTAATCCTATAAATAATAATAATAATGATAATTAATAATAATAATAATAATAATAATAATAATATTTAAAATTAATATAAAAAATAAGAAAAATAATAAAAACAAGTAAATCCTGTCCGCACAATAGCAAAGGTAAAACTCAACTGACTGACATTGAGTCTCAATCGTCACAGTTTCTTTCTCTCTATCTCTCTCTTACTCATTAAATAATAGAGTTTTAGCCGTATCGCGGTTTTTTCTTTGTTTTTCCTGTTGTTGTTGTTTGTCTTGATGGAATCCCCCCCCCTTCCCGCCTTTTTTCTATTATTTATTAGCGTTTTTAATTCAAAACGAAATCCAATTTATTAAAAAAATTTTTCTTATCATTACGTTCGTGTGGGAAAATCATTATCATCATTATTATTAAAAATTTTGTGAATGAAATTTTTCAAATTTAACGGATTTTATTCTGCGATGATGATGATGATGATGATAATAATAAATCATTAAAATTATGAAAATAAAATTATATTGTTAGGTATAATAAATCATTCGAATAAATTTTTTTAAAAAAAATATCATGATTATTATTATTATTATTAATAATTTTTATTTCTCGGCATTATAATTGATAATTTGGAATCGTCGGATTCTATCGTGGCAGAAGACGATATGATATCATCCGATATTTGATTTTTTAATGCGCTTATGTTACACGTTTTCACGTAGTGACATTTTATAGGTGGTACAAACATACCAAATCCCGACGTTTTCTACAAAAAAAAAAAATTAATTAATAATAATGATACCCAAATAATTAAATAAATAAATAAATAAATAACTTACGATCGAAAAATAAATTATAAAAAAATAAAATAAAAATAAAATATTGAAAAACTTCATTTGATTGAAAAAAAAAAAAAAATGAAAATGAAAACGAAAATTTTTTAAAAAATAACGAATCTTTTAACTAACAATCTATTTATATATATATATATATATATATATATAATTTTATATTTTTATACTTTGATGAACTCTATAGGAAATAAATCGAACAAAAGAAATTTTTAATAATAATAATAATAATGATAATAATAATAATAATAATAATGAAAAAAGGAAACAGAAAAATGCCAGTTAATTTTTCGCAATTTTTTTTTTTTTTTATTTATGTCTACGCGAGCGTGGATCATTGCCGATGGGGAAATAAAAAAAAAACAACAAAAAACAAACAACAATAAACAACAAACAACAATTTTTTTGGGTAAGTTTGAGGCTATCAATGTGGAAAAAATGAAATTGTGTAAAAAAAAAAAAAAAAAGAAAAAAAAATGACGGCGGATAAATTTTTATTAAATTGACATCAAATGGCGTGAGAGTTCAATCTCGTATGAATTTATTTTTGTTAGTCAGGACCGTAGTCGGGATAAATACATATCTATTATATGGTAAAATTTTTAGTTTTGTTACGGCACTAATTTTCTTTTTTTTTTTTAACGTAATCTAATTACCATTAATTTTTTTTTATCGTTTGTTTTTGATGTTTCAGTGAGATGACTGGTGATAATGGAGATGATGGAGATGAAGGTGGTGGTGGTGGTAGTGGTGGCGGTGTCATCAAATCATAACAACCAACCTTAACCTCTTTTTCGATTGTTTCCTTTTTTTTTCCTTCAAAAATAAAATCATTTCTTGTTATTATTATTATTTATATTTAAGAGTAAAAACTTTTATGACGACAATTGTCAAATTAAAATTATTATTATTATTATTATTACGAAGAATTTTTTAATTATAGGAAATGATTTTACGGGTAATGGGAATTCGTTAAGAAACAAAAGACTGGAACGGAAACAAACAAACAAACAAACAAACAAAAAAGGAAAAAAGAAAAAAAAAAGATTTCGATTATTTCTTGGAAAATAAGACGTCAGAATATTCTAAATTTTTTAAGAAATTAAAAATGGCGGCCATCCTTTTTTTTTCAAGGTTATAAATTTTAAAATAATAATAATAATAATTACTCCTGTCAGATTTTTTTTTTTTTTTTACATAAAATTTTAACTTTAATTATATGCAATTAAATAAAAAAAAACCTGATGTTCGTTTTTTTTATCTTATTGCCAACATTGAAAAAAAAAATTTTTTTTTCTCTAATATTTATTATAGCAAAAAAAACGAATTTTACTCCGCGCTAACATGCCTCGGGGAATTTAAAAAAAAAAATAAATTGACTTTTACCGCGAAAATTGATTTTTTGCAAAACTCGATTTGATGATGATGACAACTACACAACAACACACGCCCAAATTTTTTCAAGGTTAAAAAAAAATTAAGAAAAAATAATAAATAAATAAATAAATAAATAAATAAATAAATAATAATAATAATAATAATAGTAAGTAAATTGACCTTGCGATAAATGGGCCAAAAAACGAGTACAAGGTTGTCGCAAAGTTTTTCGCAAAAAAAAAAAAACTCGTAAGAGAATCAAAGAAATGATTTTAAAAATTGCGAAGTTCAAGGTTTGCCAACCTAAAAAAAAAAAAGGGGGGAAGAGGGAATAAGACAATAACGTGTGACCGATAATAATAATAATAAAAAATGTATTAATAAAATACTTTATTATTAATCACTTTTTTTTATTATTAATTTAATTATCTGGATCAAACTGGAGAAATTATACAAAAATGTATTACTGTCTCTCTTTCACTTTGACTCCAGAGTTTGCGCTTATCTTCCAAAAATCGATTTTATGTTTTTTGTTGTTCGGAGCATTTTCTTAACACACGCACAAAAAAAAAGAGTGACTGATAAGAATGTTTATTTTTTTTTTTATTTTTATTTTAACCGAAATATTTATGCGAGATGTTTTTTGTAAGTTTTAATAAATAAATAAATAAATAATTTAATAAAATTAATAGGTTTTTAATTTTCTATGTGTTTGTGTTTGTGTTTGACTCCCTTTTTGGATATTCCAGGTTTCAAACCAGTACAAATGGAAGCTAATCCAGATGCGAAAAGATTATACGATGATCTTCTCAGTAATTACAACAGGCTTATCAGACCCGTCGTTAACAACACGGAAACTTTGACGGTTAGATTAGGATTAAAATTGTCACAATTGATAGAGGTAATGTCGGAAGTAATGCCTGTACCTTACTAAGATAATTAAAAGAAAAACTTTTCATTTTTTTCATTTTTCAAGGTTAATTTAAAAAGTCAAGTAATGACAACGAATGTTTGGGTCGAACAAAAATGGACGGATTATAAGCTACGTTGGAATCCGGAAGAATATGGCGGAGTAGAGATGCTATATGTGCCATCTGAACATATATGGCTTCCCGACATAGTTCTTTATAATAAGTTGGTACCACCTCACCCGGTTTTCATCATGACCGATTATATATTATTTTTATTTATTTTACAGTGCAGATGGAAATTACGAGGTCACGCTCATGACGAAAGCAACACTTAACTACAATGGAGAAGTTTACTGGAAACCTCCAGCAATATACAAATCATCGTGTGAAATTAATGTGTTATACTTTCCTTTCGACGAACAAAGTTGTTACATGAAATTCGGTTCTTGGACTTATCACGGTTATCAGGTAATAATAATTATTATTATTTAAAAATTTCTCTTACTCGTACATAAATGTCAAAGACTTTTTATTTTTCTCTTACTTCAGGTTGATTTAAAACACATGGATCAAAAACCAGGTACGAATTTAGTACCTGTCGGTGTTGATTTAAAAGAATTTTATTTAAGCGTTGAATGGGATATATTAGAAGTACCAGCGAGAAAAAATGAAGAATATTATCCGTGTTGTGCCGAACCTTATTCAGGTTTATACCATTTTATTATTATTATCATTTATATGATTTGATTATTATTTTTTCAATTTCCATTTTCAGATATAACATTTAATTTAAAAATGAGAAGGAAAACTTTATTTTACACAGTAAATCTTATTATACCTTGCGTAGGTATAACATTTTTAACTGTAAGTTTTCATTTATCTTCTCCTGAAATTTTCCACACTTTTCTCCAACTTATTGAAAGATTTTCTTTGTATTTTAGGTACTCGTTTTTTATCTTCCTTCGGATTCTGGTGAAAAAGTCACATTAACAGTTTCAATTCTTCTTTCCCTTACGGTATTTTTCCTTTTACTCGCCGAAATTATTCCTCCGACATCTCTTGCCGTACCTTTACTTGGAAAATATCTTCTTTTTACAATGATGCTTGTCACGTTATCTATATTCATAACAGTTTGCGTTTTAAATATTTACTTCAGGTATGTAATTTACAGTTATGAATGTTCTTTCATAAATTATGAAAATTTAAAAAAAATTTTTTTTTTTTTTAGATCGCCGTCTACTCATAAAATGTCTCCGTGGGTAAGAAACGTTTTTTTAAATTTTATTCCTAGACTTCTAATGATGAGGAGGCCTCCATATTCGGTGAGAAGAGACGGTTATGACGATTCCGGTGATAATGGATACGCATCAGCTTTAGATTACAGGTACAATTACTATTTTTTCCGGTTTTTCTTTATCACTCGCGATAAATCTTCGTTTCCTTGTTTTTTACACAGAGATGGCATTGGAGAACCTTTTCCACCGGAATTAAAAGGTAGTCCAGAATTTGAATCTGTTACAACCGTTTGTAAAAGTACATTCGGAACTGAATCTGACGATAATTTAGGTACAACGTTTAGACACGCTCAACCTTCAGGTACTATCGCATTCGGTATTTCACCTCGTCATTAATATTAAAAAAAATTAAAATTTTTTTTTTTTTGTATCGTTGCAGATTCGGAAAATATAATTCCACGAAATTTATCTTCCGACGTATTATCAGCCTTACAAGGAGTCTGCTTCATCGCTCAACATATAAGAAATGCAGACAAAGACAACGAAGTATGAAACTAATTTACATTTTTTTCTATTTACACGATTTTTCACTCGACGTAAATTTTTTTTTTTTTAGGTCATCGAGGATTGGAAATACGTATCCATGGTTTTGGATAGATTTTTCCTTTGGGTGTTTACTTTGGCTTGTATTGGAGGCACCTGTGCCATCATATTTCAAGCACCTTCATTATACGATCAAAGAATTCCGATAGATCAAGAAATAAGTTTGATACAATTTGGAAAAATATTTTTAAATATTCCTAGAGAACAAAATTCTGATTAAATACCTTAAACCTAACAAAAAAAAATTAATACGTAGCAAAAAAAAAAATTATAAGAAAATAAGATGATGACTTTCGCTCAATAATAATATAACTAAAAACTTTTTTCTTTTTTTTTTCTTACATTACTATTGTACGTACAAAAAAAAAAAATTATTACGGTAATAGCGAGTAATTCTTTTTATCTCTAATAATCATGACAATAAATAAATAAATAATTACTTATTAATTAAAATAATTTTTTTTCTTTTTTTATCCACATGGAAAATTTTTTTAAACAAATTATTTTTCTCATCGATTAATTTTTTTTTATTACAAATAATAATAATAAATATTAAGTAATAAAATCAAAATTTATTTGATTTACTATCGAGTTGAGATTTTATGATGATTAACGATAAAAATAATAATAATTAAAACATTATTAAAAAGATAATAATAATAATTAATAAGAAGTGGAAAATAGAAAAATATTACTTTCATTTTTATAATTATACGATAGTATATATATAAAGATTATATATATATATATTTTTTTTTTTCGATAAAATTTTAATTTAGAGTATATAATAACGTATAACGATTAAAAAAAATTTATAATTAATTGTCAAGATCAGGAAGATACTGATTACGAACAATAAGTGAAAGGTCAATATCTATAGGCTTTGTATCGTCATACAAAGCAGGAGCTTCACAAAGTATGGCAAAAGTGCCAACGATTGACGCGATTGTAAAAATACAAAGAAATAATCTATCGAGAACCATAGCAACGAATCCCCAATCTTGATCTTCCTGTAATTTATTTTATTTATTTAAAAAATCATTAATTTAAATGTAAAAAAAAATTTTTTTTAAACTCACCGCGTCAAATTCGTCCTGCCTCCGCATATGATTCTGTATAAACATTACGTTATGAATGGCTTTTTCTAATTCGAATGGATATTTTTTTTTACCCGCAACATCACTTAAGCTTCCATCTAATCCGACAACACTGGGAAGACCGTTATAACCAGATATTCCAGAAAGTGCACCCATGAGATTGCTGAAACGCAACGTGGCACTAGTCGTGTTGGAAGCGTTTGTATAAAGACCGTTACAGCCACCTTTTATTTTATTATAATAATAATTAATTATTTTTTCTATGATTTAAATTTTTTTTTTAGTTTCGTTTTTACTTACCCAATCTCCTGACGGATTCTGGAGAAGAAGCTGCAGAGCTTGAAGCAGCCGCATGAGCTGCTGCGGCTGCATGTAATTTGCTATTTTTCGCACGCATTAGCCTTCTATTAAATGCCATATCGGCTAATAATTGCTCAGGTACTCTCATCAATAGTAGCTTAGGTAATTTTCTAATAAAAATTTTTCGCATCCAAGGAGCCATTTTATGCGTACTCGGTTTTCTATAGTGAACGTTAAGTACCATGATTGTTATAACGACGGAAAGACCAACGAGTATCATTGTAAAAAGAAGATATTTTCCGAGTAGGGGAAGTGCGAGTGAAGTCGAAGGTATTATTTCTGATATAAGTAAGAAAAACATTGTTTGTGATAAAAGGATTGAAATGCACAAAGCTATTTTTTCACCCGAATCTGCTGGCAGATAAAAAACTAAAACTGATAAATATGAAATTCCCACGCATGGTACGATTAAATTAACCGTGTAAAAGAGAGTTTTCCGACGAAGGGTTATGTTAAAAAATATGTCTGAAAGAACAAAAAAAATCAATTGCCACACGAGTTAATTGTCATTCTCATGTTGTGATTAAAAAAAAATAATTACCTGGATAAGGCTCCGCACAACAGGGATAATATTTGGCATGCCTTTCTGCTGGAACACCCAAAATATCCCATTCGACACTCGGATAATATTGTTTTAAATTAATACCTATTTCTACTTTATCTTCTCCAACTTTTTGATCTATGTGCTTTAAATCAATCTGAAACAAAGAAGAAAACCGGATGTGATTAAAACGTTATCAATTGATAAACAATATTTAAAAAATAATAATAATAATTTAAAAACAATGCAAACATTTAGAATTTATAAAAGTTTGAGGGGAAAGAATATATTATTAACAAAAGAAAAAAAAAATTAATTACTTGGTCTCCATCATAAGTCCACGAGCCAAATTTCATGAAACAAGTTTGTTGATCGAAAGGAAAATATCTAACGTCAATCTCACAAGATGATTTAAATATGGCTGGAGGTGTCCAAACAACTTTTCCAGTATGATGCAAAATTGCTTTCGTCATTGTCGTCACAACATACTCTCCATCAGCACTAAAACCAAAAAAAAAAAAATACTTAATAACGAACCACTACTACCACTACTACTGATATCAGGTAATTATAAACACTCACTTATTATACAAAACAATATCCGGAAGCCAAATATGTTCGGATGGAACATAAAGTTCTGTCACTCCACCATATTCCGCGGGATCCCATCGAAATTTGTGATCCACCCATTCCTAAAAAAAAAAAAATTAATTTACCAAACTCTCATAATTAACAATAATAATAATAATAAATCTTAATAAAAAATATTATGGAAAATTAAATTAATTAATATAATCTTACGTGTTCGAGCCAAACGTTTGTCGTTAAAATTTGATCTTTTAAATTCTGTAAAAAAAAAAAAAAATAATGATAATAATAATAATAAAAACAATATTTATTGATTTTTTTTTTTACAATAAATTATATAAATAATTGTAAAAAAAAATTATTATTATTATTAAAAATGAATACTTACCAAATCGATCAATTGTGATAATCTTAAGCCTAATTTAACTAAAACTGTATCTGTATTATTACTAACGGGCCTTATTAACCTATTATAATTACTTAATAGATCATCGTATAACCTTTTCGCATCTGGATTCGCGAGAATTTTTATTACAAAAAAAAGTGAAAATATTATTGTTTTCACGATCATTTTACTATCATTTTTATATAATTAAAAAAAAAAAAAAAATTTTCACTTAAATTAACAGCTGATTACATTTCACTAATTCCGATAAATGTTAAAAAATAATAATAATAATACAATAAACAATCACAATCTTTTGGTTATACTCGAGATTTCAAAACGGGGAAAAAGGGAAAAATTTTCTTTTTTTTTTTTTTATCCCACGTGTTCACCCGAACGATCCGGGCAGCTGCAGCCACCGGGGATGGGCTCGTTTTGCTGCGAAAGCAACAACGAGCCCTCCTCCGCCCCCCCCCCCCCATAACCTTTTTTCCCCTTCGTTTCCTCGGCAGCGGCGGCAGCATCAGCATCAGCAGCATCATTTTCCATCTCTCATTTTTATTTTATTTAATACGATTTTTCCATTTTTTTTTTTTTTTTTATTATTTTGCGAGACATTTCTTTCTGCCTTTGACAAAATAATCAAAAAAAAAAAAAAAACTTTATACTACTCTCTATTAAAAAATTTTTTTATTTATTATTCTCATGGAAATAATAATAATAATATAATTAATAATAATAATAATAATAATAATAAATCTATTAATATTAATTGAATGGTACAAAAAAAAGAAAATTCCGAATGTTTTTATTATTAATTTTTTATGTAAAATTATTTTAAAAATTTTAAAAATTTTGAAAAAAATTAATAACAATAATAATAATAATGATAATAATAATAATAAATTCGATTGTATTACAAAAAAAAAAATTTTTTTCCTTTTTAAACAACGCCCTTTAAAAAAAAAAAAAAAATTTTTTTTGAGATGAAAAAACAAAAAAGAAAGAAAGCGCAGTTATCGTGTCAAAACCTTTTGGGGGAAAAAAGGAAAAAGAGGGGTAGGAGGAGAAAGGGGGGATTCATTTAAAAAATTTTTTCCGTATCCCCAAAATTTAATTAATATCCCCGGAAAATTTTTTTTTATTTTTTTTATTAAACAAATTAATCAAACGATAATGATAATTAAATTTTTCAACTTTTCAAAAAATTATTCATCATACAAATAATAATGATAATTATAATGATAATAATGATAACGATGATGATGATGATGATGATGATGATGATGATGACGATCATGATAAAAGCAATAAATTTAAAAAGACAATTTAAAAAAAAAAACAAAATCAATAAAATACATCAAAAATTTTATTAAATTAATTTTATTTGTTTATGCGCGCGCACGTGTGTGTACAAACATTTATCATCATCATTATCATCATCATTGTATATTATTATTATTATTATTATGAAAAATTTAATTATGATAGAATTTAAATTTTTTTTTTAAATTGAAGGTATTGGATTTAATAAATGAAATTTTCTTCAAATGTCAAATAAATAAATAAACGACGAAACTCAAACCTGAGATTTACAATTTAATTATTTATTTACATAAAATGGGAGGGGGAGGGGGCAAAAAACAAATGAAAAATGGAGAGAAATTATTGTATTAATTATTAACGAACTATTCGTAATTCATAATAATTATTATACGGTACAAATGACATTTTATTTTATTTTTTTTTTGGGGGGGGGATTTATAGTAAAAAACATAAACACATGTTATTATAGTCATTAGCTTAAAAATTCAAACGTCCAACAAAAAAAAAACAAAAAAAGGAAAATTACCCCTTTTTGTCATTTTTTCATTTCCCTCCTCCCCCTTTCCCCTTCCCCCATTAAAAATCATTTTCGATATAAATATTTGTTATGAAAAATAAGAAAAAACATTTGAGTTTTGTTTTCTCTTTTGCCACAAACAAACCGAATGTTAACCGACGAATCGACGTAGGAGTCTCAAGTTGTTTTTTTTTTTTTTTAAATAATAATAATAATAATAAGTGTGAATCCCAATGTTTTTTTTTACGGTAATTTTTTTATTCATAAACATTTCACCGATTTGGTCGTATTTGCCTAATTTCGAAGAAAATTTCTTAAAAGATTTCATATCCGAAGATCATTTTTCACACAATTATCGCGTGTTTAATTGCGATCACACAGGTAAAGATTTTATTATTATTATTATTATTATTATTATTATTATTAATAATTCCGTAAGTTTTAACATTTATTCGTCATCAGGTAGAACCCATATCGCATCGATTTTATCAAAATCCTTATTACGGTACACGTTTTTAACGACTTTAAATAATTTTAAACATATTAAAATAAACGAACCGACAACATTCGTACTCGATTTGGATTGTCCCGCTTGGAAGGATACCCTATTACAAGTGAGTACCACCTACGTAAAATACCTTTCGATAAACAATCAATAAAATAAATTATTATTATTTTTTTTTTTTTCCAGGCGGAATATTTAGATCTGTTTCGAAAACCGTACAAATGGCTTCTTCTCATCGGTTTGAATGAAAAAAAAAACAAAACGGAAAATTATGACGATTTTAATCGTGAGTGATAAAGACATGATGTCATGATGATAATGATGATGATGATGATAATGATAATAATAATAATAATAATTTATTTCAGCCATCGAAAATTCATTTCTTTGGGATTTTTTAAATAATTTAACTCTGTTAGTCGACAGCGATTTGAAAATAATAATGAAAAATAAAATTGATAAGATATCAGTCGTGTCACCGTACAAGACAATAAAAACGAGAAATTTGATAACGGAAATTTTAGCAGAAGGAACTCCAAAAAAGGGTTTGATTATGTTTAATAATAAAATGTTAGCTATAAGAAGATGGAATCTTCAGGGGATAACCATTCGAAGTTCTTTCGTTGTAAGAATAATTTTTTTTTTTCAATTTTTTCTACAGAGTGTAGCAAAAAAAATTTTTTATTTAATATATATATATGAAATAGATTACAGATTTAAACAGTTTAAAACATTTGGATGATTTTGTCGACAAACACATCGATACGACATCAAAATTAGCTCATGCGGCAATTAATTTGTTGAAAACATTATTCAATATCAGGTTATTATAAGAATTTCCTTTTCATTTTTTTTATTTTTATTATAACATAATCAATAACAATTTTCTTTAAATAAATGGATACAGCATAGAATTTAAAATTCAAGACGCTTGGGGAACGCCGCAAAAGAACAATACGTGGTCAGGTATGATAGGAGATTTACAAAGAAAAGAAGTGGAAATAGGAGGTTCGCCGGTATTTTTTCAAAAAAGCAGACTTGATATTATAGAATATTTCGGATTCATGACACCAACAAGGTATGGTAAAAAATAAAAAATTACATACCTGAAAATGATTCGTATTGGAGAAGTAAAAAAAAATTTTCTTTTCTTTTTAGAATTGCTTTCATACTTATTTCTCCACCGCTTTCTCATTCTAGTAATATATTTACTTTACCATTTGCCCAAACTGTTTGGTTTTCTTGTTTCGGCCTCTTTACTCTGGGTTGTTTTCTATTGTTTTTTTCCATTAATAAAGAATTCACTCAAGAATATTTAGAAAATTCGAATGAACCTAAAAAAAAAATTACTTTAAGTGATATCGTCGTTTATAATGTAGGAGCCATTTGTCAACAAGGTTACTAAATTACATCACAATTAATTTTACATTAAAGGTACCAGGTAAATATAAGTTTAATATTTCAGGTACGGCAGCAGAAACGCAACATCCGTCGAGCAGAATAATAACTCTTTTTATTTATTTGGCTTACATGTTTTTATACATATCATATTCTGCATCGATCGTCGCCATATTACAATCCTCCGACAAATCAATACAAACCCTATCGGATTTATTTAATAGTTATTTAGAAGTGGGAGCAGATAATGTTTCCTACAGTCAGTATTATTTCAAGGTAAATAATTAATAATAATAATAATGATCTCGGTGAAAAATTAGTAATTGAAAAAAAATTGATTTTTAAACAGTCGGCAAACGATACGTTTCGAAAAAAATTTTATAAAGTTAAAATGGCGTCAAAAAAAAATTCTAATTTTATGTCACCCGAAGTCGGCGTGGAAAAAATTCGTCACGGTTATTTTGCTTTTCAAACGGAAGTACCCGTCGGGTGAGTGTAATTTCATCGATTACTTTTTACAAATCTATAACGAAAATATTACTATTATTATTATTATTATTAATTTAGGTATCAGCTAATACAAAAAACATTTAACGAAAATGAAAAATGCGGATTGCAAGAAAGTAAAGCTTTTTTCGAAGTTGGCGAACCTGGTCTTGTTATGAAAAAACATAGCCCATATAACGAATTATTTAGAATCGGGTAAAAAATCTATCATTTATATTACTATCATTATTTATTTTTTAAATTAATGGAAGTTTGTTTTTATGTTATTAGAACGTTAAAATTAGTCGAAAGAGGTTTCAAAACGAGGTATACGAAAAAATATTATGTATCGAAACCGATTTGCGGATCTAAAAGTTCAAGATTTTTCAGCATAGCACTCGTAGATTGTCATCAGGCATTTTTAACACTCGTTTGGGGAATGATAACGGCCGTTACCATATTTTTTTTTGAAATTTTATACGATAAATTTAAACGACATCAAAACAAAAAAAAAAAAAAAACAAAAAAATAATGGCACCATTTTGAAAAATTTTTAATTCGAAAAAACGATTATAATAACGTGCTTATTTTTAACAATAAAAACCTCCTAAGGTTATAATTTTTTTCTCAATATCAGGTTCATAAAAACTCAATTGGAATCAAAATCTAGGGAAAAGTTCATGACCTAAAACGTTACCTTTACAATACGTGACGTCATTGATTTTCTTTTTTTTTCCTTTCAAGTTTAAATAATTTATTTTTATTATTTATTTAAAATTATTAATAAAAAACGCTATTTTTTTATTACCTGTTGTTAGAAAAAGGAAATTAAAAAATTTTTTCTTTTATATTATTACCTTTCATTTTTTCCTTTGAAAAAAAAAAAAAAAATGAATTTTAAAAATTGAAAATTGTTATTAATGGTTTTGACATAATAATAATAATAATAATAATAATAATAATAATAATAATAATAACAATTTTTCGTTACAAAATATTGTGAAAATAAAAAAAATAGATCCAGGTTTTGAAAAGCTGCGACGAAACGTGAGAGGGGGAGGTTATTTTATAATTCTTCTAAAATTATTATTTTATATTTGAAAAAAGGATGAAAATGATGGCGTATACGAACGAGAGAGAAAAAATGAAAAAACAAAAAAAAAAAAAAATGACAAAGAAAAACGGATTTTCATTTAAACCGTAACGACAAAGAAAGAAAACATTTTATAGAAAATGATATTGAAATCGATTTTAGCGCTCCTAGCGTTCAAAAAATGAATTTTTCATATGCGGTGCGTTTATTCGGTCTCGCTATGAAAAAATTACATTCAATTTATTAATTGATAAAAAAAAAAAAAATTCATTTTTTATTTTTTTCGAGAATATTCGGAGTTAGTAGAGGGATATTTTACGGTGATTTAAAAATGTTTGTTTTTAAGACAACGCGAACGATTGATTTATAAAGGTAAGACACGAATTAAATTAAAAAAAGAAAAACATTTTTTCATGGGAGGTTCCAACCCATGTAGAAGCTTTTGCACTAAGGGAGCATAAAATTATTTCTTTATAAAAATCAGTTTAGATGATTAATTTAACACATCATTATTATTATTATTATTATAGTTATGTTTGTTTCATGTTTGAGAATCACACACACACACACAAAAAAAAAAAAAAAACATAATTTTACTCAAAGGTATTGAATAACATTTTACATTTGAGTTTTACATGAAAATTATGGTAAATTTTCAAAGTGAAAACAATTTAGAAAATCCAACAGGAAAGTGTTTTCCCTAAATTTTGTATGTTTTTCTTTTCTTTTAATGACAAATTTAAACTTATTGTGATTTTCTACATTATGTACCATGTATACTATATAAAATTATGATAAAGCTACATAATAAAATTAAATAACAATTTATGTAAAAAGATTTATGCAATGAACAAAAAAAAAGTTCCAACTGAATGTTTTTTAAATGAAATTTTATAATTTTAGTTATTTACAGGGTGAAAAAATTATGTTTTCTGCCATTATTTTTAATCCATTATTTGAAAAATAATTAATTGTTAATAATCTATCATGTTTTATGTTCATTTTTTTTTTTGTTGGACACTTCAAACATGTTTAAAACTTTTTTTTAATAAGAAAATTTTTATCAAGTTTTCAAGAGTTTTTATTATGTAGCCATATTTTTTTCTTTTTTATTTTAAATATAATTAAAATAATGAAATGTAATTTTATGCTGTGTAATTATAATTAATAAGAAAAAATTATAATTTACCGTTTAATTATTATTGCGTTCAAAAAATATGGCTCATGGCACTTTCATCTTATTATTCATAACATTCGATTTGTATTTTCTCATTTTCTTTTTACATGTTCAGCCAAATAAAAAGAAGAAGAAAAAAAAAAAAATTCAGTTATTGTTTTATAGTTGAATAAAATAATAAGGAAATGCTTACGGTTATGGCGCCTCTCATGATTTGTTACTGAACGTACTCTCGGAAATAATAATAGGACGATGAACCAAAACAACGGGGCGAGGCCGAGGAAATGACGTCACTTTTAAAAAAGTAAGAATTTGACCACTTTAACAAAATTATTATTATGATTAGTTTTTTTTTCTTAATAATAATAATTATTTTACAAATGCTACAAAATGAATGAATTATTTAAGTAACGAAATAATAATAATAAATGATACCTGTAATAAGAGATTTAATGTTAACATTATTTATGTAACACAATTTTTTTTTTCTTTTTTCATAATTTCATTTCAGATGTAGACAAATAAAAAAATGGAGTGGCTTTTCTTAGTTGCTAATTTGTTTTACTTTCACGGGATTTTAGGCAATCCTGACTCAAAAAGGTTGTACGATGATTTGTTAAGTAATTACAACAGATTAATAAGACCGGTCGGAAACAATTCAGATCGTTTAACGGTTAAAATGGGTTTGAAACTTTCACAACTTATCGACGTTGTAAGAGACCATTCAAATTTACTTTCAAATCAAATAAAAACATCCACCCCTCTCGTAATAGAGAGTGAAAAAATAATAATAATAATAAATAAAAAACCTAAATTTTAAGTATCGATTGATTTTTTCAGAATTTAAAAAATCAAATTATGACGACCAACGTTTGGGTTGAACAGGAATGGAATGATTATAAATTAAAATGGAATCCGGATGATTATGGAGGAGTTGATACTCTTCACGTTCCCTCAGAACACATTTGGCTCCCAGACATAGTTTTGTACAATAAGTAAACTTCAAATTAAAAATAATTTTTGTTGTCATTTTTCTTAGCACCTGATAATTTTAAGAAAATTATTAAATTAATTTAAACTTACAGTGCCGATGGTAATTACGAAGTTACAATTATGACAAAAGCAATACTTCATCATACGGGAAAAGTTTATTGGAAACCTCCAGCTATTTATAAATCATTTTGTGAAATCGATGTTGAATATTTTCCCTTCGACGAGCAAACGTGTTTTATGAAATTTGGATCTTGGACGTACGACGGTTACCTGGTCGATTTGAGACATATATCTCAAGCCCCCGATTCTGACACCATAGACATGGGAATTGATCTTCAAGATTATTATTTGTCGGTCGAATGGGATATAATGAGAGTGCCAGCGGTTAGAAATGAAAAATTTTACAGTTGTTGCGAAGAGCCTTATCCTGATATTATATTTAATATCACTCTTAGGCGCAAAACACTTTTTTACACCGTCAATCTTATCATTCCATGCGTAGGAATATCATTTTTAAGTGTTTTAGTGTTTTATTTACCTTCGGACAGCGGTGAAAAAGTTTCACTATGTATTTCTATACTATTGTCGTTAACTGTATTTTTCCTTCTTCTCGCCGAAATTATTCCGCCAACTTCTTTAACCGTTCCCCTATTAGGAAAATATTTGTTATTTACAATGGTTTTAGTAACGTTATCCGTTGTTGTGACAATCGTTGTGCTCAATGTTAATTTCCGAAGTCCCGTAACTCATAAAATGAGTCCTTGGGTTCATCGTATTTTTATTAAAACGCTACCAAAAGTTCTTCTTATAGAAAGACCTCAAAGTGATGATGACGAAAACAATGACGAAGAAATAAAACCTCCGGAAAGAATTTTAACAGGTCTGAAATTTAATTTTTCATTTTAAATTAATTATTATATTTCATTTTAAACTTTCGTATGAAAAATAATAATAATAATAATGTAACAGTTTTGTTTAAAAAAAAAATAATTAAAACGTTTTAACGGAAAAGAAAATTAAATTTTGTAAATGAATTTTTAGGCGTATTTGATTTGCCCGCAGAAATTGATAAATACGTAAGGTATGCAGGAAAACGATTTAGTGCAGATTATTCAATACCTGCTCTTCCGGCACGGTTTCACGTACCATCGGGACCTGGTTTTGGAGATGCTCCTTTATCTCTACCTTTACCAGGAGCCGACGATGATTTATTTAATCCCGGTGAAATAGCCATAAACGAAGAACAAAGTCCTACATTTGACAAATCTACGACTCAGGATATAGAAAAAACAATCGAAGATGCCAGATTCATTGCACAACACGTTAGAAACAAAGACAAATTTGAAAATGTATATCTACATATATTTTTTATGAACTGAAATTCAATACCAAAATCAATAAATTTTGATTATTAATGTCAATAAAAAATTTTTAGATTGAAGAAGACTGGAAATATGTAGCCATGGTTTTAGATAGATTGTTTTTATGGATATTTACATTAAGTTGCATCGTTGGAACGGCTATGATAATACTTCAAGCTCCATCTTTATATGACACAACAAAACCAATAGATATTCAATATTCGAAAATAGCTAAAAAGAAAATGATGATGATGATGATGGGCCCGGAAGAAGAATAATATTATTTAAAAAAAAAAAAATTAAATCTATAGAAAATAAAAACTTGCATCGATAATCGACAAAATTAATTTTTCTTTTTTTTTTTTTTGAAAAGTATCAAAGAAAAAAAAACCTTATCGAGTTTGAGTAAGATAGAAAGAGATAAAAAAATTTTTTAAAGTTACAAAAGTGTACAATGAATTATCGTATCATTTTTCAAATGGGTGATTGTCGTCTGTATTCAAAAGAAAAAAAAAAAACTAATTATCAAATACTTAAGACATTCACCTATTTTGAATTTATATTTCGATAAACATTAAATTGAAATTAACCTTGTTGTCCTTATATCAACAAATAATTACAAAAGAAAGAAAAGTAAAATTTTTTTTTATTTAATATTTTTACTGATAATCCTAACCATTTAAATTTTAAAATGAATCAAGGGCTTCCAACCATATTTTTTGACGTTTTTTTTTTTTTTTTTTTTAAATAATTGAAATTTTTTTAATATTTAATAAATAAAGTTAACAAAACTGTTTAACAATTTTTGTAGAATAAATCAAACATAACAAAAAAAAAAAAAAAAAAAAGTTCTCAAATAAAATTCTGATGAATAATTTTTTTTTTTTCACATCATTTTAACCAAAATAGTGTAAATTATTTCATAATAACTCAGTT